GCCCAGTGTGATGATAAATGGAACAAAAAACCAATCATACATAATAAAGTGAAAAATAAAAGAATATTGTATAAAAAAATCCTAAAAATAGGAATAGAAATAAATATAGAAAAAATCATAGAACAATTAGAAAAGATCTATGTAGAAAATTCATTGTTATTTTGGAAACCATATCATCCAAAGCCAAGATAGAACTAATCAAAAATGTTATTATAAGAGTAAAACCAATTATGTATATCATACAAGATACACAAGAATTTAAAATCCAAATAAAAGAATTACTAGAACAAAATCTTATTAGACCTAGTAATGGACCTCATAGCAGTCCAACTTTTATGGTTATGAAACATTCTGAGCAAATTAGAGGAAAAGCTAGAATGGTAATAAACTATAAAGAATTAAATAAATATACTAAATTTGATGGATACTTTTTACCAAATAGGGAAGTCCTAATAAACTTTGTAAAAGGAAAACAATATTATTCTAAATTTGATTGCAAATCGGATTTTTGGCAAGTAAAAATGGAAGAAAATAGTATACAATATATAACATTTAGTACACCTCAAGAAAAATATGAAATGTTAGTAATGTCATTTGGACTAATAAATACATCACAAATATATCAAAGAAAAATAGATAATATATTTAAAAAGTTTAATAATTTCTTAATAGTGTTATAGATGATATATTAATATGTTCTAATAGTAAAGAAGAATATAGAAACTATTTAATACAATTTATAAATGGATGTAAAAAGGAAGAAATTGTTCTTTCTAAAAAATATATATATTATAGAAAAACAAGAAATTGATTTTCTTGAATTATCAATAGATAAAAGAGGAATAAATTGCAAAACCATATATCTAAAAAGATAGAAAGTTTTCCAAATAAATTAGAATCTAAAGAACAAATACAAAAATTCTTAGGATATCTAAATTATGCAGAAAGATTTATAGAANAATGGATGTAAAAAGGAAGAAATTGTTCTTTCTAAAAAATATATATATTATAGAAAAACAAGAAATTGATTTTCTTGAATTATCAATAGATAAAAGAGGAATAAATTGCAAAACCATATATCTAAAAAGATAGAAAGTTTTCCAAATAAATTAGAATCTAAAGAACAAATACAAAAATTCTTAGGATATCTAAATTATACTGAAAGATTTATAGAAAATCTTTCAAAAAAGAGGCATAAAATACAAATTTTACTCAGGAAAACAAATACCAAATGATGTAGTGAAGAACATACAGAAATTGTTAAATCACTTAAAGAAAAATATAAAAATTTATCAAAATTAAGATTACCAAATGAAAAAGATAATTTAATTGTTAATACAGATGCATCAGATAAATATTAGGCAACAATATTAAAAACAGATTTAAATGAAATTTGTAGATATTTAAGTGGAACTTTTAATCAAGCAAAAATAAATTATACAACTCATGAAAAAGAACTACTTGTAATTATAAGAGGAATAAAGAAGTTTTCTTTATTTTTGTTGTCTAAAAAATTCATTGTTAAGACTGATAATTCTCAAGTTGCAGGATTAGTCAGGAATAAGTTACCATCAGAACCTCAATCCATGAGGCTCCATAGATGGCAATCTTAAGCCCCGTTCGGGAGGGATTAAAAGCCGATTAAAATTGAAAATATGGCCGTTATTGGGTCCCACTCGTCTAATAAAAGTCAACAATAACGGCTATATTTTCAATTTTAATCCGATTTTAATCCCTCCCATACAAGGCCTTATTTATCATTTTACAATTTTCATATTATTTATATTAAATGAATTAATAATAATTATCTTGCAGATTTTATTAGTCGAAATATAGAATTCGGAGATGAATGCTATTAAACAATCCCTGATAGACGTCAAAGACGAATGGAATTCCTCTTGGAGGAAGTTGATGATATGAAAATTGGAATGGAGCAACTAGCATACACACTCCAACAATATGTTAAATTGTTGGTTGATATCTCAATTTCTCATCCCAAATATACCAAAGAATTGAGTGATAGAATTGATGAAATAACTTCACAATTCGAGTTACTAAATACCCAACAGGAAATACCAATTGATACCAAACAGGGAATAACAAAAGTACAAACAGGTACATTGCATGGTGGAATCAGTAGTTGACCCAGCAATATCAAAAGAGATCCAACAAGTCCCCGAAAGGTGACCATAAAAAGCAGTGATGAACATACAAGGATTATCAGAATCAGAAGTGATGAAGAAGATGATACCCCTTTATCAGCAAAAGAAGAAGAATATAAAAAATTTGTCAAAATTGTTTATGAACTGGAAGAAAATGATTCCTATTTCATATCTTCAGGAGATCATGTTTATCTAAGATTGATCATTACCAAAAATGCAGATCCTTTGATGGTCAAAATGACAGCAGATATTGAATTTTTAGATCTTATCTATCCTGGAAAAGATCTAAAATAAATTGAAAATGTTAATGATATATTGAAATCCGAGATATCAAAATTTGCTCAAGGAAGATCCATTTACATAAAATTTTACTCAACAAGTCCAGAATTTGATGGAATGATATTTTATTCTGCTGAACATAATATTACAGTTGGATATGTTGGCCGAGATTTTCATATTGAAGTTGGTCAAAATAAAAAAAACAATGCCAAAAATTACTAAGTCATTGATAAAATCCCAAAGAGTCTTAGGGATGAAAGTTTTTTATAACATTGCAAAAACTTTATGTGATAAAAAATTCAAATATTTATACCAATACAAAGAATGGACGCTCCTTACTAATAATGGAAAAGAGAGATCAACAATTCTAAAATAATACATTGAAAATTTTGATACCCATCGTATAAATGGGAGCCCTGCAACAATTCAAGACGCATGCAAATTGAGGGATTGCCCCACATGCCGACATAGATAAAGAAGATCTGATATAAAGAAATCATCTGTAATAGAAATGCAGGAGTGCATTTAATGAAAAGACATAAATCTTTGATGTAAGATGACATATAATTGTGCCTCATAATAGAATTATAATGAAAGCAATTATGTAAGAAGCTTAATAATTGAGTTTCATGTAATTGTATAAATAGAAGCCTTCGGATTAGAAGAAAGACAGAATGAATGAGAGAAGTGAGCACTCAACTTGTGAGAAAGTCAAACTCTTTTGTCTTTTGTACGAATCTTAAATAGATCAATAAAATTCCAATTCTTCCGTAAGAATATGGGCTTCTAAACTTTTTTTTTTTCTATAAATTCTTGAAAGATCTGAGGGCGTGTTTGATAGGGTGGAAATAAGGTGGAAAATGGAATTGGTTTTCCATTTTCCAGCTTTATGCTTGTTTGATTACTTTTATTTTCTTGGCAATTTGAATTCCTCAAGGAGGCCACACGCTCACAATTTCCATGAAAACCTTGAAATCATTTTCCCACCTTTTAGGTGGGAAATTGATTTCCAGGTTTTATTTTTATTTTTATTTTTTTGTGTTTTCTGCAATGATGCCAAATTTCATGAGCAAGTGTTAAAAAAATTTCACTTTCATCAACAATTTTGATGCAAACGAATGTCAAACGAACACTAAGGCTATGTTTGATAGCCAAGGAATTCCATGGAAGTAGGAAAACGTTTTCCATTTTCCCCAAATTGTGGTGTTTGATAGCACAAATTTTCCTAGGAAAATATTTTCCACATTTTTCTAGGTACAATCATTTGATGCACAAAAG